AGTCGTGAGTAGTCAGAATGATAGTAGGCGACGTATTTTTATATCGCATTTGAAAATTTGTGCTTTATGGGCAAATAATTAGATCGAAAGCTCTGATATTATTTTCACACACTGTTCATTGCAATTTAATTTTCATGCTGCATTTTTAATAACTCGCTGTCTAAATTGTATTTTCAATTGCTATAATACTTATATTCGTAATACTTAATTTTTTTTAATTGACGCGGATAAATTATAATTAGTTTTTTTTCTGTGAGCAAAAATAAGAGGTTTAATTTTTTATGCATTCGGAGTATTTATATTTGTATTTGTATTTTTTTTTTCGAATTCAGAATTTGCAGGATAATAGGAGCGATCAATAGAGACAGAGTTGAGAAAAGAAAATAGTAAGTAAAAATATCATTAATTGAAGTGGCAATCCATGGCTTCCCATTGCTAGCAAAAAAACTAAGAATTGCCATTACATTTTTCAAATGTCAATCTTACAAAAAAAAAAAAATTACATTAATCTTTGTAGTGTATATTCCGTTGATATTAAGATTATTTTCCGAAAATTGCTTCTTGTTCCTTTAGAAATAGCTAAATAAGATTTAGACAATAGGAGTCAAAACATAAAGATCTTTTTGTACTGAAATTTATTATACGTAACGTCGTACAAGACATTCCATTTATTCATTATATCATTATATGGAATAAAAAAAATAGTGTCGTCAAGGAAAATGCAATATTTATGCGTAAAAAATATTTTACTTCATAATTTTATGATACGTAAGTAGTTTCGGCAATTATAATCACAAGCCGCTTTGCAATTACGATTATAAGTTACAGGATAATATGATTTAAAAGATTCCCGGTATTTAAAAGATCTATCCTATCTATCTATCTATCTATCTATCTATCTATCTATCTATCTATGAGGTAGTTGAGAATGAAATAAAAGTCTCGTTCTTAATAATCATAGATATTAATATAAAATAGTATGTGACTTTAAATTAGAGAGTGAGACAGCACAACGTAGCGGTGAAAAATTGATAAGAGATAGCCTTGGCGCGGCATATGTATTCCTTTGCAAGTGCACAAGGGGAAGAAAATCCAAAGGACCAAGAGGAAATGTATGTTTCCCTCTTTTGTCCTTCTTCTCTCGCTTTCTTCGTACATTTGTAGCTCGCGAGCTAATGGATTGACGATCAAACTTTTCTTCCTGCCACCAAAGCTTCGAGTAACTAACTTACTTTCGCCGCTGTAACGGTTCTTGCCTCCGATCAGAAACTATTATCGTGCGAACAAATCGAGAAAAACTTTTGTTGATATTTTTCCTCTTGAGAGGGATTGAATAAAGAATTGGTAATGCTCGTCTGTTTGATTTAATCATGCCCCTGAATGTTCATTCGCGTTCTATTATAAAAAAATATTTTGCGATTAGATTATTAACGTTATTATTATGTATACAAATTTTAATGTCTATTTTCTTTTCTTCATTTTTATGATGATATCATATTTATTTATATCAAAAGCTAATCTTCGCAGTAGAATTGAATACCAATAAATTTTTATTTCATCTATTTAAAATAAGTTCTTGCGGTTAAAATGTCACAACCTTTCGCTTTGACCATCTCGTGAAACAATTGTCATATATGGAAGTATTCAAGTATCTGAAAACAGAAGCGATCGTTTCAATTTCTCGCACGCGCTAATTTTCCAATGTCAACCATCCGCATTGAGCGAGGAAAATTTTATGGCAAACGATTAACGTTTGACCAGCTCGAGCTTCTTAAGTCGGAAGACTCGGATAGGTGGTCGAGCAGGATAAGGTGGACATTGAAAAATTGATTGTGAACCGAATGCCGGATATTGAGGAGCGTGGAACAAGCTGTCGGCTTGCTGATGGGGTTCTTTTTCTTTTTGAGAAAACGAGGGTGGTCGATCGGAGCCTAGAAGACACACCGGGTAGTGCCTTTGATAGGGGTCCAGTTGAACTTAAAAATACAGATAATCAATTCTGCTTGGGTTGGGGCCATCAAAAGAAGAGCCCCTTTTAATTACGTTTTCATACCTTTGGTATTTCTCCATTTCAATCAAGTTACAAAGAGATACGTTGCAAAGGAGACTTACCTGACACTTTAATGGTGACTATTTTACTTCCCCCCCCCCCTTTTTTTTTGTTTTATTCAATTTAGCAAAAAGAAAAAAATAAACGGAACAATCGTTTTCTTTATTGAAATGTGTTGTATAATTTTTGTGCTTGTCTTGAGTATATTTCATGAAAAGGCATCACTCTATACAATTTGAATATAGTTTCTTAAAGCTCTAATGTTTCTCCTCAAAGGGATGAAAGCCTCGAAAACTTTTCATCCAATGATTCATTATATTCAAAATATTTTAGTTTTATGGTTGCATTTAATTAAAAATCTGGCCTATATATAATGCTTGCGTCTATTAAGCTAATGAAATGCCGTATGATTGTTTATGAAAAATTGAAGATAATTGGGTGGTCTGGATCGTTAATACTTATGTTCGATTTTTTTATTTGCTACAATCGTAATCTTCGATAAGAGATCAAAGCTCTTGTTCAAGTTCAAAAAATATAAATTCCTAAATCGTTTGGCGGAGGTGCGAAAGTGTCACATTGGTTGTATTAAATTTGGCACAAGTTGAGTAGTGCCAAGTCCATCAAATCCGACATTTAGCACGCGGACGCTGATTATCGCGATCGGTAACCATTGTATTCTGTCAGCTGTTCCCGATCTCGGGAAATCGAGTTGCCCAAGTGTGGAAGCATCGAGTGACTGACTTCAAGCGTCGGTATAATTGAGTTCGCCTAGGGTGCACTAGGGTGCAGCATTCGGTGTCGTGATTAAGCCCCGGGAGTATGTTAAATGATTTTTGTGTGTAATATATTTGGATGTTAGCACAGGTCGATGTAAAAGTACGTTGTATTGTCGGTAGAATTTTGGAAATTTTGGTGTCGCTTCGGAGCTTTGTATTCACTTGCCCTTTCAAAATCATTTATACTCTTGTTTGAGAAAGGCGTTCTTGACATGTATGGACTGCAGGCCAAAAGGCATGTTATTTTATAAGATATTATTGTTT